GCATTAGCAGCACAAAGACAGACAAATAGACCAAGGGAATAGAAGAGGATTCAGAAACAGCCCCACAGTGATTCAGTCATTTGATAAGGTACATAAGATACATGAGAGTAGTGAGGAAAATACAAGCTTCAAAAAATGGTACTAGGTCAAGTGATTTTCCTTAAGGAAAATATTTAATCATGACTCCCACGTAACACAGTATAAATAAAAATAAAACTACAGATGGATTTTTGATATTAATTAAAAAATAAAGGCCTTATAAGAAAATAGGACAGAATTTTCATTACTTTGGAGTAAACTAATTTCTTCACCAGTTCACAGTGTTAACCACAAAGGAAATTTACAAATTACTTTACCAGTAAGAACTTCTATAGAGTGAACTATAAAGCCACCAAATGAGACAAGCAAAAAATACCTTGAGCAATATGCTTGTGCTATGTGTACTTTCCTGCACATGAAAGTCAATGAAGATTTATATTAAAAATGTAGGGACACAGCAGAACTAAAGATAGGGCAAATACATTATGATGTTCTACATGTGGAGATTGGCCACACATTTTTTACTAAGATCTCTAAGAACTACACAAGTAGAAGATAAAGTAGTGGTTATATATCCCTGTATCTAGTAGACATGAGTAAGTAAATTTCATAGAAATACAGCACTAAAATTGTTCGCATTAAAATGAGACTATCACACAGAAATCTTCACAAAAACTACTTTTTAATATTATAAGCAATGCTCTTGATAATAACTTTAAGACTCTTGTGAGTGCTTCTTTTGATGATCCTCAATGTACACTGATAAGTGTTATGAATCAATGCACAATCAGGTTAACGCAAATCGGGGCAGAAGAGAGCAGATCAATGCAGTCTACAGAAGCAGCTGCTCTGTGATGACTTGGAATGACCCAGGATTATATTTTACAAACTGTAAGTCTGAAGAGTGGATAAGCTGCAAACCTCCCCCCAGGAATATCATCTCTCAACTAAACTTTTGACATCTGTCAAATGCCAATGAAGCTGAGGTAAACACCACTTACTAAATGCCTGTTATTTGTTGTAACTTAATCTGAACTCAGTTTAGCATAAGGTACAGATGACCTTTTGTGAATGATGAAAATTCTACAAAGACCAGTAAGTGAAGATGATGCCCATATTGAACACCTACTAGTAGTAGGGCACTCAAAATCCTTATAAATGACCCCGAACTTGCTCCAAAGCAATTGATCTGACTCGAGGTTCCAACCCAAAATTCTAGTGCGTATACCATGATTTAAAAAACTGTAGTCAAAAGTATAATTATGGACAAGGTCTGGACAGTCTTACCAGGCTTTCTCAAGGAAACAGAAACATGAAACATGAGTTAAGGCATTTAAAGTTATTTACAGGATTATACTGCCAATAACAATTCAGTGAAGTGTCACTTATCTCCAACAGACATATTTTCTGATTATTCAGCAACATTAAGAGGTTTAGGTTGCTAAATTTTACTCACTTAACTCAGGCCTCTGGGATTTTTTTTTAAACATGGAAGTTTATTAATTTCCTAATTCACATTAGACTCAGCAAGTCAAAATTGGAAGTGCTAAGAAAAGTGATGACAGAAACAGACAAGTTGTAAAATACAACAGCTAATTTTGAAGGAAAAAGTAAGAGAATACAAAAACACAAATGTCCTCACTAGTAATCTAACAGAGATAGCTCCAAAAGCCAAAACCTCTGAAGGCAGTCACTGCACAGTACACATACTCACAAAAATAGATCCAAAATAAGGTTATGAATAAGCATTATATTGTGTTATTCACAGTCTTTCAAAAGAAGAGAAATGTGTTAATCCTTTTATAAAAACCAATTCATTAAAAATGTTTTAACTATTTATTGTGGTTTAAATTTGAGCATTTAAATTACAAGTTTCAGCTATGCAGAAGCTATACTCATTAAATAAGTAAAGCATTACAGCTGATGGAAGAATTATAAGGTTAAACAACAGTTACATATAAAATATGGCTTTTTATTCCCCTATTACACTGAAAAAATGAAGTGTTAATTAAGTTATTACAAGTATTTTAACAAGAAATTATCATTTATTTCCACCCTGCTTAACTCATCACACTATCTCCTCATATCCATTCTGTGAGTCCTTTTCTATTCTCAAGACAGGAAAATGATGAATTTGTAAAGGAAGCTTCTTTTAAGTATTGATTTAAAAGCTTTCCAAATGTTATTTTTAAAGTCTATGCAAATTATTAAATATGTATAATTTTCTCATAAAACATTGTTAATCCACTCAAAGATAATTTAGGTTTTAATTCTCTTCACCAACACAACTAAAACCAAAAGAACACACCAGCATTTCAGTAATCTGAACAACAGAAAAATGACAAATATCCACCCAATTTTCTATGGATGCCAGTTAAAAAGAAAAACTTTAACAAATGAATTTTTAAAAGTCTTGAATGAAACAGAAGAAGGAGAATATTAGTGAGTGTACAGAGCCAAAGTCAGTCTATTAATATTTTGGAATTCATTATGAAAATTTATAGTCCTTCAATGATCTACAGGTATATGTTCTCTCTACCACAGTCTGTGAAAAAATATGATAAAACCATACTTACAGGCTCAGGTAAATACTATACAAATGTCTTATTCTACAATCTATAAAAGTTTACATTATAAGTAATGTACTGTTTGTATTGAAAGTAAATAATTACATATACAATCATAATGAGCCAAAGTTCAACTTAGCTTTTTTCCTATCTTACCTAAATAACCCACTTTCAAAATTCAAATACTATACTAATATTGCATGTGGTAAGGCTTTAAACATAAATGTTGTGTAGTTCTGTAATTACTCAGAACATAAACCCATACTGTGCCCAAATGGCTTCAGGTGTAAGGAAAGAGCATTATTGTCTAAGTAGATACACTAGGATGGTATGTGGTAGTGGGGTTTTTGTTTGTATTTTAGTTTTATGAACTGTTAAATTTTTCCCAAGCGTTGGTGAAGAATCACAAAATTTTAATAAAAAGAAAGAATAACAAAATGGGAGGTGCATTTCAAAAAGGTTTTCCATTTACAAGGAAATAAACATACGCTTCAACTATGCTCATCTACGGCTTCATTACTATGCTCATATTTCAAGGAATTCAAATACGAACGAACACAATTTGCTTTACTGGTGGGGCTATTTCTGAAGGTTAACCAATCATCTACTGCAGTATTACACTGCAGATTGCATGGCTTATTATATGACATAGTATTAGCTAATGACAAAGTCGACTGCACTGTTATATTTCTACTTAAAGTGATCTCTTCCAAATTTAAATATCAAATCATCTCCAGTCTGAGATATTAAAAGTGAATTCATAAAAGATATGGGTGAAATATCCAGAGAGTAGTAGCTTTGAAAAGTAAAACGGCATAAATACTTCTTTATTCATTTTGCCAAATTGGTGGTGGGGTACTTAAAACCTTCGAATGGCCTATACTGATTTTTCAATAAAAGTTGTCAAGACAAAGACCATCTAATAGGCCCCATTACTCCACACAGACGTCATTTATATGCACTGTCAACTATTTAGACATGCTTGGCAGCCTTAATATTATCTCCTTCACAAATATACAAGTTGAAATCTACCCCAGAAATTTAAATTTATTTTATGTTCTATACTAAATATAAACACATCCTCTTCTTCCCTTCAACTTTCTCTGCTGAGGGCACGATTGGAGAGTAAGTGATTTAACCAACCAAGATTAAAATAATCATTTTTAGTATCTATAAAATAAAGAGGCCTAACTTACTGTTCTAGCTACCTATCTTAAAATATTTTCCTCAATTTACAAGAATTTAATAAAGCTTATGTATCTCAAAAGGTTACTTGTGTTGTCTGTATTAGTTTACCATTTAAATGCAGTGTCACTACTGTCAAGGAGGCAGACCTTCTAGAGAGACAAATGTTTATGATACTCCAAATTTTTAAAAACTCACTCAAAACTCGGAGTCGTGGTGCACACCTGTAATCCCAGCACTCTGAAGGCTGAGGCAGGACTGCCACAAGTTGTCAGCCTGAACTACATAGCAAGTGTTTTCTAAATACTAAGAAAAAAAAAAAGTCATTCAAAACTCCTAGTACAAATACCTATATTCTGCTTAAAAACCTAAACAGATTTTACATGAGGAAATTGAGAAAAAACATACAAATTACAGAGGAAAAGGTTTTATAACCATCTGATTATCACTGATGATTAAAAGGTTTGATGAACAAATTTTAAAACAATTTAATAGTTCAGATAAGTTCCTCAAAAATGAATGCACAAACTTTCATCTTTGAAAACATATGCAGGTATAAGGCTTAAAATAATCGCCATATTAAAAATCACCTCTCTTCTGGTGACTAGCCTTATAAGATAGTGATTATTCCTTTGTTTCTGTACCTTCCGGAGGAAAGGAAAACTGCATGTATAATTAGAAAACACTTTAGGAAAGGCAAACCTTGGGGGACCTCCCTGACACAATGACTGCGTGTACCCCAGCCCCACTCTTCCGCCCCTGCATAGACAGCACCGGCGCTGCAGTTCGCAAGTGGACAGCTCCCCGCGTGCAGCGCATCGCACAATGGCCGGCTGCAGAGCTGCGGGCGCTCGGCATGTGCGGGACGGAGAGAATAAAGATAGCCGTCAACAATGCAGAACAAGCTGCATGCGATCCCGGCGCACCGCAGTCACGCTCTCAGGGCCCGTGTAACCCCGGCTGGCTACCAGTTTAATGCGCACTAACCCAAGGAGCTCTTGCTCCTGGCCTTCCGCTTACTCTGACCCTAGAGCGCACGTTCACAACACCTCGCCCGGCCCCGCCTTGAGCCCAGCCTGCGCCTCCCGCAGCTGCAGAGCTGCAGGGCTGCGGGGCAGACGTGGCCTCCGCGTCCCGGGGCCGACCCTTGGCGCGGAGGCCGCGCCCGCTGCACCCCAGCCCTCCCGCAGCCGGCCGCGGCCGCAGTACCTGCACACGGTGAGGAGGTTCCTGCGCTCCACCGCCGCGTTGCGCGCGCTCAGGTTCTTCCTGCCGCTGCCGCCGCCGCCGCCGCTACCGCCGCGGCCCCCGCCCAGACCCCCCAGGCCGCGGGACGCCATGCCGTCCGCCCCGGTCTTTGTCTCGCGCGCCTGCGCGCGCCTGCACCTGTCCCAGGCCCCGGCCCCGCTGCCGCGGCGGGCGGGACGCGAGGCCGGGGAGCGCGTGACCACCGGGGACCGGCACCGCGCGGGAACGGCCGGCGCGCTCCCCGGCTCCACGCACGCGCGCGCGCATTCACGCGCGCACACACGCATGCACCACCATGCTCGCGCGCGGCCGACTGCCGAGCGCCGCGCGAGGGCCAGCGTCTGACTGTCTCTCCCACTTCCTGCAGGTCCTTGGTGGCTGGCGCGCGCCAGCCTCAGGGCCTAACCAGGCACCGCAACAGCCACGCTCGCCTCAGCCCGACGGGGTAGACAAACCCCCGAGCTCGCGCGCGAAGCCGCGGCTTCCCAGAGCCAATCGGATCAATGCAGCACCACCTCGAGCCAATCACAACCCATAGGAGGCGGGTCCCTGCTCGGTGATATTTAAAGGACTGCACTCAAGCCCCGCCCAGACGCGTGGGCAGCTGTCAAGCGGTGGGCGGTGGGCGGTGGGCGGTGGGCGGTGGGCAGCGGGCGGGCGTAGCGGCGGGCGCCCTCGGAAAGCCGGGCGCACTCTTGGGCGGCGCCCCTGAGCGGCCAGGTCGTGCCCTGGTGTCTGTGGCCTCCACGGGGTCAGCCCCGACGTCCTTACCTGAACTGGGGCTGGTTCTCCAGAAGGACTGGACCTCCTGCCCATCGGCTCTCCCAGGCTGAGGACAAGGGAACCTCGCTCAGGGCGCTCGTTGGGCCGCGTTGGATGCGACCTCGGACGACCCCCTGACCCATGACTGGAGGTCACATTTGGCATTCTTAGGGAAATTCCAGTTTTAGTAGCTCTGAAATCCATTTCGCTTTCCCGTTTGGGTCTGAAGTTTCTACCAAAGAAAGTTACAGCAGCCGTCTTTATGGAGATTCCTGGTCTTACGCGTTGCTCCGGGAAGCGCGAGATTCTGTTGGGTGCGAAGTAGAGCAGTCCTGTGCTACGTGCAATGGTTTTTTTTTAAATAGAGTTTTGTATGAAAACTGTAGGTTGCAATTTTCTGAGGTTTTTAAAGATTGAAAAGCTTCGCTTAAACTCTCTAGTTCAGAGTTCACCGTATTCCCAGAATGTTGGATGTTGGCGACCCTGCTGTTGGGTCTTCATTTGTAAAACTTTCCACTCAGTGTTGGAAATTCGTGAGTGGAAATTTTTACAAAAATACGTTATGCCTTATTCTGCAGATGCCTGTACACGAGGTGTGGAGGCTCAACCGTAAGCGTGAGGACAGCGAATGATTGAGGACAGCTTGCTGTACCTTTTAAGTTATGAGCAATAGTAAATGAGTGCGATATTGGGAGACTTTATTGGAAAAAAGTTTGCTGTTCATGACTTGTGCATATGGAACCTACTGTCGTATTTGACTATTATCTGTTTAAAGAAGAAAAATAATTTACGTACTGTTTCAACATTATTTTTTAAATTCGTACAAATTTGTGTGTGTTTTAGAATATGAACTGTACAATTTGGAGTTTTGTTTTTCGTTTTTATTTTTTGAGACAGTATCTCTATGCAGTTCAGGTTGGCCTTTAACTCACAGCAATTCTCCTGTCTCAACTCCTGATTTAAAAAAATCATTGGGACAAGGATGCATCTCTTTCACCTACTAAGTCTTACTGTGGTGGGTAAAAATATAGGGAGAAAATATGCCTTAATTAAGTTACTACAATAAATACATATCCATATGAGAAAATAATTTAGACAAGATTTAAACTTCATGTTTCACATTAATACCAGAGGAGTTGTTTTCCAAACATGTCTGCTTTACTGTGTGTGACACGAAGGCATTGTCAGGCATCTTTTTAGGAGCTGTCTCTTCTTGCTAAGCTGACAGTATGAATTTAGAAGGAGCCACAAGGAAACAAATGCGCTGTGTAGGGCAATATTGAATACCACTCAAACTGACATTTTATAACCACGGATTAGTCCTGCGTAGGGAAAAGAATAAAAAGCCATTAGTTGCTCATGTTTGGTGTGTCCAAATTAGAAAAACAGCACACGTATTTCAGAGGCAAGAACAAGAAAAGTGGTCAGGTTAGAACAAGAAAAGTGAAATGCTCAACCCATCGGTAATTGCATTATCATGTTATTCATATTGCAAAGTTATATTTATGACTGAAGACCATAAAATTCCATCTTAAATGATTAGGTAATGTTATGTTTCATCTATCACTTTTAGGATGCATTTGACATATTGGTACTTGCTTGATTTTTCCTTTTTTTTTTTTTTTCCTTTTTTTGGCATGTCATTAAACTGCCATTGGGAGGGCCTTACTCAAAGAGGATGACTTTTCCTGAGTTTTCTGGGTCTTTTTCTATGTTCACTTTTTTCTAAAGTGACCTCTATTTAATTACTACTTCAGCTTTGGCTGTCATAACAAAATGCTATCTATTGAGTACTAATCAATTATACTCAAAGCATAGTGTTATAGTGTGGAGCCTCATTAGTTTTCATACTACTTTTTGAATTTCTTTTTGGTATCTATTTCTTTATTTGAACATTTAAATAAAAGCTACTTAGAGATATAAGAAGATTCACAATAAAACTCATGAAAACTACAGATGTCTAATCAAATCTATGGAAATTCTATAGTACTGAGTGAATATACCATCCTCAGTTACCACATTCCTCACTTTCTCCTCATCATCAAAAGAAACAAATTACAAGTGTAACATATAAAATTTTTCAAACACAAAACATTATAATACTAAGAAATTACCAGGCCATAGTTTATTTTAGTGTCAAAGATGAAGTGAACTTGCTATGTTACAAACCTAGCACCTATACAGAAAAGAATGGAAAAATCAGTGATACCACTGTTTTTCAAATCTGTAAATCAGGTACCACTATAAGCAAAATCAAACAAAAAAATGACAGACTGAAAAGAGTTTTGAAGTTCATCTTAAATGAAGAGCTAATTTCCCTGTGTAGAAAGCCCTCCCACAAAGAAATATACACTAATAAACATTTAAAAGAACAGTTAAGTGTAAAAGCCAAGTAGTGACAAGTCTGTGAGAAGTGTTTGCATTTACTGGATGAGAAAGGTTAGTAATGCAAGAAAGGAAAAAAATGCTAAGCAGTGAGGAGGCAGCCAATGCCTGGCGTTCAGGCACAGACAGATTGTACTTCAGCTGAGATTACCAGCTCTCAACTGTATTCAGAAAGAATGGTGTGAGTATAGGACCACTATAGTTTTGAATTATCATTAAGAAGACAAGGAAGTTCCCACTTGATGACTTTTTTTCTCTACAAAATACAAAATAATGTCACTTGCCAGAAGTTTCAAATAGTCCTTCTTATGAATACACTGACTAATGTTTGAGAATTCATTTGAGATTGGTGATCTTGAATTAATAAAAGTGACCTCTAATTACTACTACAGCTTTGGCTATCATAACAAAATGCTATCTATTGAGTACACTGAATAATAGAACTTTATTTTTTCACAGTCCTAGAGATGGTCACAGTGCTGCCAGTTTGGCTCCTCACGTTGACTTTCATCCTGGCATACAGATGGCCAGCGTCTTGCCGCATGATTGCATACCCCTTCCTCAATGTGCTCAAAAAAGAAAAGAGAAAATGTATGGTATTTCTTCTTGAAAGGACACGAATCCAAGCAAGAGGGCCCTACCCTCATAACATACTGTTATCTCTCAAAAACCTCATCTCCAAATTCCATCATGTTTGGGATTAAGGTTTCAATACAAGAATATTGTGTGTGGGAGTCATAAACATTCAGTTGTTAACATTTAAAGTGAGGGGTGGTTTCATCTAGGATTTTAAAAGTTAATACCATTTTTTTTTTAAATCGGTACCAGGGATCGAACTCACGACTGCCTGCTTGCAAGGCAGGTGCTTATGCCGCTGAGCTAAATCCCCAGCCCCAATTAATACCATTTTTAAAAAATAATTTTCTATAAAATATCTTAGGCAACAAATTCAAATGTAATTTTTTAAAATCACCTTTTTTTGATAAAGACAATTCATGAGGAAAGAGGACTCACAAACTTCTAAATGGGACTTTCAGTCATATTGAGAAAATATTTCTTGAATATTATTGAATTTTCCCCTAAAATAATTTTTAAAGTTTTTTTTCTGGAGAAATTCATAAAGTCAAGATAATTAAAATACATTCTGAAAAATATGCATTCTGGCACCAATTCACTGTGTTCACAATTTTGCTTATACTAGCACAAAATGTAGCAAAATGACAATGGTATTAATGAGTCTCCGAGTCTCCCATAAAATTTCAAAACATTGGGACCAATTGAATAGTGTGTGTGTGTGTGTGTGTGTGTGTGTGTGTGTGTGTAAACTAAGGTCTTTAGCTAAGTGTTATTTGAAGCAACCAACAAAGGTAAGGAAAGGAACCCTGTGTTCATTATTTACATCTTTACCAAACAAATGTAATTCATTGTGGCTCATATACTTGACCTTGACAATGATATTAATATTTTTCTCAAATATTTCATGGCATTGTTTGGAAGATTACATATAATGGTTATATAAGTTTTCTATTATACAACAAACACCAACCTGCTGGCTCATGAACTGAAATTCCTGTATGCAAAGTCTACCTCAACTCATTTGGATCTTCTGTACGAGGTCTCAGAAGGCTGAAATCAAGGTGTCCACTGAGCTGTGTTCTCACCTGGAGGCTCTGGGAATGGATCTGTTCCAAGCTCATTCATGGTGTTGGCAGAATCCAATCCTTGAAGTTTTAGGTGTCCTTTTCTGTCTGGCTGTAAACTAGGGATCACTCTCAAGTCCTTTGTACTGTATATGGTTCCCATAATCCTCAAGCTAGCAATAGTGCACTGAAACCCTTACATTCCTCAGACTTACAACTACTTCTGCCATTAACTGGATAAAGCTACTGCTTTATAAGGGCTCATATAATTTGAGCCCAAAGTCAGAGTCATATGAGTAGTAACCTTATTTACCTGTGCAGTCTCCTTTACAAACTAATGTAAGCACAGATGTAACAATATCACGGACCCAGAACCTGAAGGCCATTTTAGAATTCTCCCTAAACACAGAATAAAAGATTGCATTTTCTAAAGAGATTTATTTTGTTAAATTTCTGTTAATTTGACAGCATCCTCCCTACCCAGCTATTCTATTTCCATTGCTTTCTCCATAGATGTGTGTGTGTGTGTGTGTGTGTGTGTGTGTGTGTGTGAGACAGGAGCAGTGGGGATTAAATCCAAGGCCTTCACACTGAGTGACATCCCCAGCCTTTTTGTCATATTTTATTTTGAGACAGGGTCTCACCAAGTTGCCCAGGCTAGGCTTG